GATTCTAATGATCAATCAAAAAGAAAAGGAAGCATGCGAAAGATGGTTCCAAACATAAAAAGACTAATCCGGTTGGAAATCTTGGAGTTACCTGTACAAACCCGGCTGAACGAAAACATAAACAACTGCTTTCAGATGACACCATGGATCATGTTTCTGATGTCAGGACATCCGCAACAAAGCGTTCAAAAGTAGCTAACCTGCAACATGACACATCCAGGTGCGATATTCAAGATGATAACATGATACCTATATCCCCAGAGCTTACTCAACAACATTCCCTGCCTGAATCACCTCAGGCTTTCCGATCTCCACCACCATCGTCCGGGTCGCACTATTCATCCCGTGGGTCACGTTCTCCGTATAGCCGTTCTCCATCACTTCGCACTTCAAGAACACACCATCGTCATCTTGTTTCGCAAGGAAGTGACCGCCGGGGAGATATGCCTCGCGATCGTTTTCCTCGTCGAGGAAAATTTGATGAATCACGTCAGATAAATCCCCGGCGAACATATGTCGGTTATCGAAGGCCTTCCGCAAGTCGGGACACCAGTCCGGAAGAGTACTTTCCAGACCATTTCCGGTCCCGTCGCCGCCGTAGTCATAGCCGCAGGTCAAAAGAAGCTGATCGTAGCTCAAGAACTGAGGGTAGTAGGCAGACAGTTGGCCGTCCGCGTATTCTTTCTCCCACTCAAGGTTCGCGACAAAGACGATATCACCACACCAACCACTCAAGAAGTCGCAGTCCATCTGAACAGCTTAACAGACGGCACCGAGATGATGTGCCCTATCGTCGGTATCACCGCTCACCAAACAGGTATTCGAGCTCAACCAAAGACGGAGGGTCAGATGTGCGCAAAAAGACAAGTTCTCACAAAGCCGTCCCGGTTGAACGCTCTAGAAATGACGATGGAGCTCCAACCACTGAGGCCAGGCTTGAGTCAGATGTTCCTCGTCATGAATCTCCCAGTAGATTGCCAGGACGATCCGGGCGCGGTGAAGGTACCTCTCATTCTAAGAGGATCCGAGTGTCAGAAGTAAGTTAGAAAGCAGTTTTTGTAGGCTCGAAATCCTAACAGGGCTGTATGAATCTTATTCACGCCCGGTTTTACTAAGTCAAAGTCGAGAATATGTAGCTGCTTTTTACTGTTTCTTATCGCCATTTTCAATTGCTAATCCCTTGAAATTTATATTCCGGTACAGTATGCTTTCGTATGTTGATTTCGTCATCATCCTTGCGCGAAGTTTTGTGTACGGAATATTCAATAGAGGTTCCATTCTGTCGGTGAAGTCAATCCATGTTGAAAGGCCGAGAAGCACTGTACAGCGCATTGTGGAGTCTCTGAAACTATGTTGGAGTAGTTTGATGGAAGTGTTACCGTTTTCACCTGTCACCGTACTTTTTGGATTGCACTGGTTTCTTACAGCCAATACTCGGAGTAAGGCTCCGTCTCATTTCATAGTTGCATGGTGGATGTTCTTCGGCTCCCTTAGTACAGATGTGCCATTTCAATCATGCTGGTAAATAGTGGTCATCTCTAATGGGCCTATGGATGTAATAGTTCTCCTCTTGCGAAGCTTCCTTAATCTAGACCGGTTGGCCTTATGTGAGGGCGAGCTGAGTATTTGGATATCTTGACTCTCAGGTCCTTGTGCAGGAAGGCAGGTAGTAAAGTGTCCACCGAGATTGACCCCAGTGTTGACTTCAGTGGCGTAATCCGTAGACCTCCTGCAGACCTAAGCATTAGCCCTCGATCCACATCTTCAGCCCACCCGATCAACGACAACGTTACTCTTGGCCTGGTTTAATTTTTTCTCCTTCAGGTTGTCATTCGGGTGCAGACTGATATTGTGGTGATAAAGTCAGCCTCGTGCTTTTGAGTTCAGTCTACACTTTCCTCCACGGTAAAGTACAAAATTAACCGGTAAGCCTCCTTTTGCGGACGCACTTCTGTCTTGGTAACTTTAACTTGAGGAACTTTCCGTTCGTCTTTCACTGCGGTCCGTGTGGTTGGATGGCGCCGAGTCGCGCCGCTACCGAGGGAACATGTAAAGGTGTTAGTCGCCTAATGAAACTCAGTCCTTAGTCTTCGGACTGACAGTGTCATTCCTTGTGAATATCTTAAGAACAAGAATATAAAAATAACCGAAAACCAAATCTTAAATTTGACACAAACCGTACTGCTGAATTTAAAATTGATGTTATTTGTCTCTCGTTCCTGTTGGTAATCCTCTGTTCCGGGTCACATTTGCAGCGTTCCAGATCATCTAGTGAACAGACTGAGAAGCGACGTCATCGAAAGATACGTTCGAGTGGTAGTTCGGATCGCTCAGTCCGACTCAGTGCTCCTCATTCATCCGAGCCCTCTCATGAACAGGCTTCAAATCCTCGCTCCCCCAAGCAAGACAGAGTACGGAAGTCCAAATTGTCGTCTAAAGTCTGTGCTGTTCTGAATTTGTTGGGTGAACTTGGGACTGACATTGTCTCCGATGCTGAACTCGACTCATTACTGCCACTTGACATCCTGTCAGGTAACGACATAACGGACCTGAATTGCAGCACTTCACTCACCTGCCCGAAAATCCAGTTGGATCAACAACAGGCGGACGAATTACCAGCGCCACCTTTGGAATCCATGGGGGATTCCGCTGAAAAACGGCTCGATGATAAAAATCTCCGTGCACTCAGCTCCCTGGAAAACCTATCTTCACAAATCAGACAGAAGTTATGCGAACCGGAACAATGGGATGATTCAGTAGAACTTTCTCCCTCGTCTGACCACGAAGGTGATTTGGATGATGAGTCCCCAACCCACCAGTCGCTCGTCACCATTGCGACAAGTCGAAAGTCCCTCCCCAGCCGTCCACAACCGATAAATAGCATGCTAATGCCCTGGCAAGAATTGATCGAGTCAGCAGACAGTAGCTGTGCTCCGGAGACCGCGGTTGTATCTTCGGATTTAATCAGTCCCGTGGTGCAACCTGATGACTTACTGAGGTCTGGTGCTTGCAGTGCACGCTTGGTAGGTTTTATTTTCCATGCCCGCTCACCAGTACCAAACCAGTCCTCGTCATACTACTCCTCTAAAAAGTTCAGAGTCATGGGCTTTGTGGAAGATGTCTGTGGTAAAATATGATTCGTGAACATGAAATGCTATGTCCATCTAATAACCCTACATACAACGACCCCGCCCCCTCTATCTCTCGAACACGGCTGTATGGCTTTGGAAGGAGCTCATGAGTCTTGGACTATTCGTCCCCTCATTAAATGGCCACCCTCCTATTTTGATCCATATGGTCAGAAAAAAATCTCTGTTAGAGCCGCTCAGGTTAGCGTAGTCTCCAAATTTCCTTCATTTATCATGATACGTGTGTAGAGCTAAACACTTCATGCTAAGTTGATGTCACGTGAGAGTGATGTGGGAACTAATTGAATTTCTGGTTGATATTATTCTTTAAACAAATGTGTTACGTAAAGGCCGCTTCACGTTTCAGTCGTACCTATATTCAAGATATCAAAGTATTTTCCGTTGATATACCACCCACAGGGCCGTCGGAGGGATTTCATCAACCTGCCGATGGTTTTGTCAAGAAAAAATACTTCGGTATCCTGAAAATCGTTTCAACTAAGACGTATGACAGCCTCTGCAGTACGTTCATCTGAACATCAGCACCAACAAGCAACTCAATTAATGTTAGTTCGTACTTGACTTAGCAACTTGCCCTCTCTGTGATTTCTCTGTCCTAACTTTGGTTGCCTGTCTGTGGAGTCGTTTTGGAGGTGAATCACCCTCCTCACACACATGCGTGTTTCCAGTTCGTCTATGTGTCCATAACTTCATGCCCTTGTGTTTAACGTCTCATAAGTTGACGAACCAGGCATCCATAGTTCTCATGTGGACAGGGAATTTCGCACTAGTTAACGGAAACCATTTTCGTGCTGGATCAAAGAGAATCACAATAAGTCACACAATAAGTTTCACAATAAGACGCTCCGGGGCGAAAATGTTCGTTATTAGAGAGGGAATTGTCAGGGAGAAAAGGTGTTGTATGTCGGGAAACGCAAGATGCCGTTTTGGCCATATGATCAAGAGCGAACTTGTGGAGTAAACCGGATACCAGACACTTATCGGATTTCACTGGTAGTAGGAAACGATTGCGCAGGCTGATCGCAAATGCTCCCAGCTTGAGTTGCGGAGGTACTGACGGATTTGCATAGGCGCGTCATATTTTATGGGGCTGCTAAATAGTCTAGGCGTAACATGCTGTTCATAAGGTTGCTGAAATCACTTTACAGCCCACGACCAGTTTCACACTTGGGGTTCACCAAGGAGGCGTATTCCCCGAGTTTCCGTCAAACTTACGTTCTATTTTCACATCAAATTGGTGTGCAAACGAGAATATTTGGTGGGGCTGTCAAACGGTGATTGTAATCACCCCATAGCTGCCGTGTGACAATTAAGCACAGCGTGAAGAAATAAGTCAGTATTTTGTACTGTTGAGAAGAATTTAAACAGAAACTTGGCAAGACTTGGAAAAGTTCATTGTGGACACGTCCGTGCACTTTACTTTGCCGCACTCGTGGAAGGAACTGCAAACCCGAAAAACAAACCCACATCTTGAATACCTTTCGAAATTTGTCTGGACCAGATAAGCCAACAAAACAAACATCCAGTCAAATGTATTCTGTCACCACAAACATCATAGTTATTTGCTATTAACCAGAATTTCGGTAACACGGGTGGCCGTTGGTTTACTCGTTGAGCCGGATAATCCGATTGCAAAGCGGTGGTTTTTTTACTGCTACGACCCTTTCAGCTCCCCGACAACACACTGATGACCGTAGCTCGGTTGGTAATGAAATGCTTGCAATAAAATTATCCATCTCTGCAAATAAGCCAGAATAACTTTGCTTTTGACGGATTCATCTATATTCTGACGTTGGTTACGAGCGTGAACACAAGGTTGCTTGCTCCGTCCGCTCTCAAACTATTCATCCCATCGCCTCATTACCACACCATCCATCGCGAACTTTATTTGCAAGGTGAAAATCTTTGAATAACATATGTTCCGAATAAAAGTCGACCTCATAAACAATACATTGCAGCAGTGATGCGCGATCCCTCGTAAAAGACGCCGCCCCCAGCTTAACAGCACTATCTACAAAAATCACAGCTTTCACGATGTGCGAACAAAGGGTATGGATGATTAGTAGGTTGACACTCACTCAGGAAAAGGCGGAAATTCCCATAATGGAAAATGTGGGGTATTATTCCGTTTAGTGAAAAACCTGTCGACCACACTGAGAATTTTCTCCGCTGGATAAATTTTTGGAAAGGCCTGTTCCCTACTATAGTTCAGAATGGTGTTTGCATGCTTTTTGTTTGCTCTCAAGTCCCAATCCGTTTGCTAAGTTATTTTTGTTGGTTTCCTTTTGCATTACAACCTGTGACTGTTGGCTACTTTTCACTTTCATGGATCACAGTGCGATCCTAAAGATCTTGTCAATACCCCCCCTTTGAAGCTCTTGTTCCAAATCAAGGGTAATCGGCTTCATACCAGACACCGTAATGCGTTAAAGCCACTGTTTGTCGTGCCAGCAGTGCTGAATGGAGAAGCATTGACATACAGCTTCGTTAATTTATCGATTTTACTCTTGCGAACAACAAAGCTCGAATAACCTCGTAGGCCAGGGCGCGAGTTAATGGCCGAGTGTCCCTGTTTCGAATCCACTCGTGGTTTTCGATTGCTTTTGTAAGTCTGTGCAACCCGGCCGTATTTCAGCAGTCGCGCTTTACTCCGCTTGTGATAGTAATGCGCCAAACGAATGCCGAACAGTTCCGCCGGTTTATTTTCCATGGCCGGAATTATTTAGCCCATGTGTCATACGACAACGCCTGTGATAAGTCTGTCCCCTGTTCCCGGTATTTATTCGCACTGCTTTGAAAACCTCCAGTCTACACAGCCATCTATATCGGGCTACTCATAAGTAGTTGGATTAAGATAAGATGCTAAACCGCAGGCTCAGGACTTCCGCTCACATGACACAATCCTGATGTATTTCCTCGACAAGATTTAGTGAATGGTCTAGCTTAGCTTATTTTTTGTCACAGTGGTTATGACTGTTAAGTGTTCATACTTTCCATGGAATGTGGACTGTTGGCATATCACAAAGTACCAAGGATTCGCGGAAGCGCGCCCTTAACTCGTGGTTCGGACGTGCTACCGTTCCGCCTATGCGCGGCTTGAGGCTGGCTGGAGCTCTGAAGAAGGTACTACTAAAACAAGTACGTCAGGTTTCATGTGCCACTAAGTCGTGCATCTCCTTTCACACTCAAATATTTTCCGCGATTCTGGTGTTTTAAATGTTCACTGTATAAAATTCGTAGGAATCCAGAATCCGTTTTCTTGTGCGTTTAGTGAGTGGCAACCGAGACGGAAGGCTAAGTGGGACAGACCGTCGAAGCATTCATGCTGAAAGTCTGATATCCCACTTCATTTTTTATTGGTTTTCTGTTTTCTATCCCCCCACTCTAGTACACTCGCCACTAGCGTTATACCGCGTGATTTTGCTTGCGTCATGACCTTATAAACTTCTTAGAATCCACCCATTCTGACTAAAACGTATGTAACACCACAGCCGCCAAACTGTGGTCGAAATGTCTGCGCAAGACTTCATCCATTTTGAGTACGGGCCTTTTTAATCTGTCACCCGCTTGTTTTCCGTGCTTCGCAATTGAACTTACCGACATATTCGGTTGGGTTTGCGAAATGTTCAGTGGCTTACTCGTTCTGTCATAAATCATTCATTCAGCTTCTTTCCTTACTCATCTACTGCTAAAGAACTGTATATGTGACGATCTTCAGTGTTAGATGTGCAGTTTGTTATGGTGAATTGCGTTCGGTAGTTATGTGTTTGCTCATCATTTTTTCGCCCGACTTTAGCTATCCATGCGAAATCGCGCGTGTGGAGCCTTCATCTTGCGCCATATCGGAGTTAGTAAACGTTACATGGGTACGGACCTATTAGCCTGTTTAAACAATGAACTGGCCAGCGTCGGGGACGATACGCTGACGGATACGAAGGCTTCTCATGCACAAGTGGGACAAACTGAAATCGCTTGGATGCAACGGAATCCGCAAATGGCCGAGCCTCTCTCCCCCTCTACCACCCGTCCGTTTGTCCCTCATGGTGACTTGCTCTCGTCAATGTCTGACGCCCTTATGCGACAACAGCTACTGGAGCTAGTCAACTGAGCCATGAGCAGACAGTTTATAGTCTATGCTTCCTCCCGCGTCAACTTTGCCTTCTGCCTCAGGCTCCTCTCCTTTATCATTTGTACATATAATTTTGAGCCTGATGCTTCATATAAAAATTTCATCTTTCCACTCGACTGCAATACCATTCTGGATAGTGGGGTTTTGAAATTTCCGACGCACTAGACAGGCTGTGTGATTTCTAGTCTAGCCTGAGACTAGCGTATGGATATCGCTTGATCCATTCATTCGATTGTGAACGATACATTCCATTATTACTAGGCACTGACGAACGAGAAAACCTCGGCCCAGTCAATACAGTTGACTTGCGGTCATTCATCCAACAAAGCTTGGTGATATAATTAAACAGATTCAAATGGTAGCCCTTAGTTCACTACCCTACGGGCACACCATAGCTCGGCTTTTAGAAGTACTTCACACTCCTTTCAATCTGAACCCCCTCTGATGGGTGTCTAAGGTTACAGTAGCCCGCAGCAAACGATGTTCCTTGGAATCGCTTGTGTGACGCTTTACTGGGATCTTTGCCATAATACTTCAGGCTTGTTGCGTTTTGGGAATGATTTTTGGTCAGATAGTTGTGTCTTTTCTTTATACAGGGTACAATACTTGTTTATAAATGGTGAGGCACCAAACTTAACAAGGTCCTTCCACAGAAGTAGGTTTTGTGCATCCAGGGCGATTTAACTATGCCTTATAATACGGAAAAAATTCTTACCGATGAATCAGGTACTACTATGGTCTTGGTGGACACCTGCTGTAGTCAGCTTTGAGCTCTTGGGACTCTGTGCAGTTCAACCCACCACGCCCTTTAGTTTACCCCTTGAACAACTGATGAGTGTCGGGTCACCAGCTCAGATAGCCATCGCTCTAACAAAACTGCACTGGAAACTGCTGTCTTTCGTAAGAGTTGAACCGAACCAGTGAATCAGTGCCAGAACGAAGTATAGAACCTGAATGAGTGATTTTACTGATGAAAACGAAGTCAGCAAGCTAAACACGAATCAGATGACGAATGCACTTTCAAACCATTTGAGTCAGAGGTCATAGTCATCCCACACGCAGCGAACTGTTATGTTAAGGGTTAAAAGAGCCCTCTAGACTTAGTGGTTATTTCCGGTGGACCTGAAAATCTGCTGTCAAGATTGGTCTAAATCTGGTGGCAAAACATCTGTGGAATTTCAGTCATCTTCATTTTGTTTCCTCAGCTGATATGATATGGTTGATTCACTGTGCCTCAAAATGCAACATCTTCATCAAACGACCTCATTAAATTGTGCGTTTTGTGAGAGGGGCATCTTATAACTATCCCCTTGTGTGTGTGTGTGTGTGTGGCTAATACACCTAAGAAGTAGTCAGTTTCAGTTCACTCGAATAAACACTTCAGGGCAGCCATTTTTCTTGGCCTTCCCTAACCTTTTGCGCTGCTGAAATTAACTGAGTTGTTTTTTTACCTTTGAGAGCTACGGTTTAAAGAGTTGATACATCAATTAAGGGTAAAATCATCGCCTTGATGAGCCTGAATCCGCTAACCATTTGGAATGATGTCCTACTTTCACAGTTGGAGGCTGTAAATTTATGACCACAAAGTGGTTTTCCAGGCACATTGATATAGAGGTAGGTGAAGGCCCTATTAACGAGGACCACATCGCGATTGGCATTAGCGTGGAAGGACGTTAGTACTTCACCAGCATGATAACTTGCTTGGATGTACCCCTATGCTGGGAAGAAAAATGTGACATGGAAACCTAGAGCTAGCCTACGCTTCTAGCACCTGGTCAGAGAATCTGGATGGGAGCGGGTAACATGAGCGCCTTTGACAACTTTTAGCCGCCTTATCTTTGAGATCCCCAGTCATGCATAGGGAGAGTCACATGGAACTCGTCCCGGGGGGGGGGGGGGGCCGATGTTCCATAGTGTCATTCCCTTCCAGTATGATTTGTTCACCTCTATTTCGTGCCCCTAGTCAGGCACGGAAAACCCCCTCGGTAGACAGTAATCCGCTATGTGTACAATACAACCAAGCCATCTTAGCTTGCAGTGTTGGATCCAGTTTTCAAGCAAATTACTTGTTGCTTCACCAGGTAAGCTTCTCCCGACCACACTGGGGTCGCTGATGCCATCAGATTCGAACTGTGGTTCTGAGACACCGGTGGTCAAACAACTCCAGATATAATAACCTGCGCTCACAACAACCATACGGTGCTCCCTGTAGTGTAATGCGCGAGACCCAACGGGATGTCTTCTTGATGTCACACGTGGCACAGATTAGTTGACCCACAACTAGCCCTGCAGATTGAATATGTTTGCCACACTGACGTCAGAGCTAATACAACTCCCGCGAAATTAATGCTCTACAGCCCTCGGTGTCTGTTTTCGAACTCGTTAAGATAAAAACACTGGGATATCAGAAACCTTCTAGAGTTCACCGCGTTCTCTTACAAATGAAGAAAACAGACAACCATTGTGAGCATGTGCAGCCGTCACACAACATTGGCTGTAGTGGGATTTTTCGAGAGCTCGCCGAATGCCCTCACCGAAAAATCTGGGACCTACACACTGATCCGGAAACCAGATGCGAACCGTTAATAATTTGAAATAAGGATAAACAGCTGTACAGTGCCTCTCTGCTGTTTGGAGTAGATCGGCTTCACTAACAGGACGAAAGTTCCGTTTTCTTGGCCTGTTATTGCTGACATGCTCCTTCAAATGTGCTGGAGGACGTGATCCACGAGAGTTGGTATTAGCCAGGCCTATGGCTCTCTTGCCGGTCTACCAATTTTTACAACGCTTCTTTTCCATATGTTTACATTCCTGACCTAATGTGACAGACTCCCATCCTCTGCAATCAAGCAAGATTGGTTGGACACGTTTATCCCGTCCATGAAATTATTCGGCTTTGTAGCGAGTGCTTGAAGTTTGAAGCCACTATGGATACGCATTGGATGCTAGAAAAAGTGCCTAGCTGCGATATTATCCGAAAAGTAGAAAAGTGTCAGCAATTTTGGCTCTGCAAAACTTGCTCACAAGAAGTGCTACGACGTGGGTTGCACCGGGCAGCAGCACAGTTGTGCAGAACTTGCTATTTAACCGTAAACTGGCCTCTTCGGATGAGGAGGTGCAAATACATGTGTGGTCAGAAAGTAAGTGCAGAAAGTCGGTCAACTTTCCAGATTGTCCGAGTGTATTTGGTGCGGATCAACAAACCTAATTCCGTTATCCAGCATTACCCATTCTATATTGTTTGCCATTATGTTGCTGGTAAGTTTTCCGCATACTCCTCGAATTTTTTTTACCTATCTTGTGCTGAAACTCATAAGAAGACTGTTGTCCACCCTGCCACTGCATCGATAGTCGCCGAAAGTTCCGAAATGTGCCTCCGCGCTACTGGTTGCACCGTATCAACAGTTCTGTTGGACCAATATGCGGCCTCATTACCAGTCCAACTGTCTAACTCGCTATCCATGTTACCTGTTGCCACCTGAAGCAGTACCGAATTATATCTTGTTTCCCGGGCTTTCACCGTTTATGTGATCCCAATAAATAGGCAGTGAGCGGCGCCCCCAGAATAGTATGCTCCCTAGTCGTGGTATGTGTGTGCGAAATTTTCTTGCGTCCATCGAATGTGCTGATAACTAGTCCTTCGAATCGATTGGGAGCAGAAAATTTCGCACAAGGTTCATTTGAGGTCGCGACTTTAGACCTTATTTTGACGTGAGAACACTTGTTTTGATCAAGAGTCATTCAAAAATCTTATAGAGACCCATTTTGATTTCCATCGTGACATCTTGTAAATGATACTGAAGCACGTTCCTTATGATATTAACTAGAAAAAAGCTCCGTGAAGCATCAGAGGTTGGTTGGTTGGTTTAAAAAAGTTCGTTTCGGATGATGGAGTTTTAAGTCACGTTTTGGTGCCATTTCACATCTTATAAAAACTTCAACGAATACATACATCCGTTTGTCGTTTACATGCGAGTGGGATTTTCACACAGGTTTGTTGTTTCCTTTTGATGGATTTTTATCACAGTACAGCAAACTGCGCATTACGACTTGAGTGAGAAACCTTTGAGTAAACTTTTCACCTATAGCGCAATCTACAGCTACCTAGGTCAGATCCGATTCTTTTCACACTTTTCCACTACCGATTGGCCCTAATCCACTGTATTATGTAAAATGCCCATAAAAGGTTTGACCTAGAACGGTAGACTTGCCAATGAAAATTTACTTATAGCCAGTCTGGGTAAAGAGATGTTCATTTCTCCTGTAATTCAATGTCAGTCAGCGGTTGCTTCTCCTATTTGTTCGACTACTAATGAGTAGCATGACTCACACCCGCTTGTTATAACTACGCTTTTCTTCCCCGCCCCTTTTTCCCTGGGCTTTTGCTCCCCATCTTGTAACTAATGTCGAGATTGTCTTGCCTGCCCATCTTCTCTTAAAGTTTTGTGTCAACTCTACCTATTTTTGAATATCTGATTTGGCGGGAAAGCAGTAGCCCTAGGATCGAACACATAACCCCTCGAGCTCCTAGACTACCCTATTTTTATATTACCTTTGTCTTACATTTTACGTGATGGTGCTGCTTATTTGGATTGTGTTCTAACTGGCTTCAGCGGGCCACTTCGTTACGCTGTCAGGTAATGACTGTAGGTGAACTTCATTTGCACCATATTTATCCAACAGCCGTTTTCCAGACAGCTTCCGTTACCTCGCGAACTTTCTGACTATCTTCTGCGCCGTTATCTCTGCATCGGCCTGTTTTACATTGCCTGAATGCCTGCATCCAAAGCCCTACTGCCCCACTGCTCCTTTTTTCTGCTCCTACCGGTTACGCTATTGTTGGTTGTATTTTCTACTTAATTCATGATGTTTAACCCATTGGTTCATAGAACAACCTCTCAATAAGGCGTCTGCTGCCCTCGTCCCTCTGTTCCCACTGCCTACGAAATGCATTCACCTCGGATCTTACAAGGGGCTTG